TAGGAATTTTGAATACTATTAATATGCTTGAGCACTGGGGAGTTTGTTATACATTCTGTTTTGTCTTAAAGCAGTTATAGTTTCAGTAGTAATTAATTAAAAAAAACTTTTTTTAACGATTATTTATCATAGATTGGTCTAGGGCAGGCATAGACAACCTTTGGCACTCCAGATGTTTTGGACTACACCTCCCAGGATGCTTTGCCAGCATTATGGGTGTAAGAGCATTATGGGGGATGTAGTCCACAACATCTGGAGTGCCGAAGGTTGCCTATCCTTGGTCTAGGGGTTGATATGTATATTTGTGTCTGCGAGACAAAATAACTTAATTGTGAGCTAAAATTAATTTGTTTTACTTTAACCCCTTAAGGACACGACATGTGTGGCATGTCATGTTTAACCCCTTATGGACACGACATGTGTGGCATGTCATGATTCCCTTTTATTTCAAAAGTTTGGTCCTGAAGGGGTTAATGTAGATATCATGTTTTTATGATATAATTTACATATTTTACCTAAAAATAATCCTGTATCCCACTAAGCTTAATTTATCTGATATGTGAAGAGGCTGCATTTGAAAGCATGGTTTTGCTCTTATTAGACAACCTGAATAAGGAAAACATTGGGAGGCTATTGTGCATGCAGTGCTGTGCAAATCAATATATCCTCATGTGTGGAAGTAGTGGGGCATTGTGTGTAGTGCCCTTTTCCTATACACCCTTTACATTTCAATAATGCAACATGAGACATGGTGAAAATAGGCCACAGCTTTTTTTATTAAAATATTTCACCAAACAATATTATCAATATTTTGTATCAAATATATATACTGTCTGATAATTTGAACATCAAACAATATAACTACAATATAACTTAACAATGTTTCATAATCATACCCGTCCTTGCCAATCAATTATCCCCCTCGTCCCTAACCAACACTGGCCACAAAATCTAGCCTTTTACCAACACCATACTAAGCACTAGCCAACATTTGGTTTAGTGGGCACGTCCGTAATAAACCATACCTTAATTTCAGAGTCTAGGGGAGGGATCGGCCCCAGTTTTCTTCACACCCGTTGGACTCCCCAAGTCCAACCCACGATTGGCAAGGACAAGCACCCGCCTGCTGTGACGAAAGGCAAGTGAGAAAACGGTGAAACATAGCCAAAGCAACAATGCAACTAAAGAAAGGGAGGGAGAGGAACAATTCCTAGCCAATTATAAAATGACAGAGGGGAAGTACAGAACCTGTCTCATATTTATTCCCCCCACCCTGCCAATCACTTACTGCTCACCACACCCAGCCCCAGCCTTTCACTCTTTACTATACACCTCCCACGCTCACACTTGTTTCTTGATCCAGCTAGCTTTGCCTGAGTACAATTTGTTTTGGTGAAATCCACTGGCCTCAACAATTGGCCTTGTGGTTGATTAAGATTCAGGTTTATTTGCATCTTTGAAAACTTTGGCAACACTAGCCTGAACACTAGCACTTGATTGACTAATATTAATATTCTATAGTATGGCTTCAAACACCCATCCTGATCATTCTCACTTCTCTACTTTTCAACCAACTTTCAAATCAGTTAATATGTTGAACCTTTGTAGACAGACAGCATATGGCCAATAGCATATACATGGCTATGGAAATTGTGTATCATAGCATTTTCACTTTTAAATAAAAAGAACAGATTCATCAGTATATTGGAGTTTTAGAGTTAATCCTTACAATAAAAAAAGATTGGAAGTTTGAAGATGGAGTAATGAGTAAAAGAAAAAAAAAGTGTGTTTTGGAGATATTGGTACTGTGAATTATATGTATGCATGGACTTCCTATCTATAAATGTGCTGATTACACTATTTGCCTCAGGTGTTCAATAAAATGTGATCTTTATTTTAATGCATAGAACAACTGCTATTATTAAATGATGTTTCTGTATTTGAAAAGGCACCCATATTCTTGAATAATTTTCTCATATCAATCTTAAAATGCTATATGTGCAATAGTTTTTACAGCATTTTGAACTGAGATCTTGCATTGTGAGAACAAGCTGATGTGTAGACCAACATTCTTACTACAAGTATATAGTTACTTCTTCTGTATTCTTCTGTATTCTTTGTTGTCTACAGGAAAGTAAAATCTATCATTGTCAAGCAATTTAGCAATAATCAGTTAATGAAATGTTACCTTGTATCATGTACATCCATGTCAACATGGCCGGTGAACTTTAAGCATATTTAAAATATTGTGTTGCTGTGCTCAAAAAGCACCAATTAATATTTGTATTATACATTCCTTATATAATGGACAATCTTTTATATTAAATACATAATATAACCCTCCAAGCAAACATAATTACGACTCTTACAGTTCCTTTTTTTCTTTTGTCTCATTTCTATTTGCAGGTTGATTTATAAACTCTGTCTGTTTCATATATTTGCATATCTTATCTAAATACAGTATGTCAGCATTCATTTTGCATTTGTGTCCACTAGTGCTGAATGTGACGGATGCTAAAATAAATAGGATTTAACAGTCTCACTATTTTCTGAAGAACTACTAAAAATGTCAATACATTTCATATTTTATATGAGGTTTTTCCCTTTTACAAAGATGAATGGTTTTCAGATTGAACTTCTTAGTGGTTTTCTGAAAAGTTTATGTGCTGGAGGGCTGCCACATTGTGATCTATAACTTTATATCTCACTTTTATGCAAATAACAATTTGGCACACATATCTTGGATTTTTCTCTAGGGACAATCACATATTTCAACCCTCTACTGCCAAATTACAGTTGACATTTAATTTCACCCTGACTTTCTATATCTTGAAAATGCCAAAACTTTGATGGTACTTGCACTTATTAAATAATTGCCTTCTATAACAAACTTGTTAATTTGTTAATTTACAATGTGTTTATGTATTTGTTTAAAATTGGAGCTGGAAAATTGAACCATCCCTTGTTCTAAAAGACTTTAGATAAGTGAATATGGTACAATAAAATAGTTATATAAGGTCACACAATTTAAAAATGTTCTCATCCATAATTGGTTTCTACAGAATCAAACAAAGCCTTCATGCATTCAACTATGTCAGGAGAATTATTACATTACATAGTGACATAACTGAAAAGAGACATTTGTCCATCAAGTTCAGTCTTTCTAAATAATAATTACATAAACATATAGCAGTAAACGAGAGAAACCAAACAACATGAATTTATTTATAGACAAATATGCATATGATGATATCACAGGTGATTATACCATGCACTCTCAATAAAGAAGTGTCAGCATATAAATAATACCCAACAGACAAAACGTAATACAAGCTATCAAATAGAGAAGTAACTAGAAAAAGTGAGGGTTTTGTTACTGATTCTTAGTATGATCAAACTTATTGCAATGCCTAGAATGGGGAAACACATCTGCCAATAGGCAGAGAACAAATATTAACAAATCAGGGTCAAGGGAACAGAACAACAGAGCACTAATATTCTGAAGGCACTTAGATTGGACTTTGACTCTCTTGTTTTATTTATTTCCAATTGTTGTAATTAAGCATACCAAATACCCACATTCTTGCATGACACCTCTTAACTCCATTTTCTAGCCTTAAAGATTTTGCATAATTATTTTATGTGGGTGTTCATAAAAAAAAAGTAATACTAGAAATGGTCCCATTTGTGAGTTCTCACTTAGCAAAGAATATTGTAGTGAATCACTTGAATATATTCAACATATCTTGAAATTGTACCAGGCATCAATAGCAACATTTCTTATCATAAAAACATAGTAAAAGAATATATATTCTCACTTATTAGTCAGTACCCAAGACATGAGAGCTATGTTCATATAAGATGACAAACAAGTCTCTTTGTGTATACATCTTTCTTCTTTATAGTTACATAGGCTTAAACAGTACATGCATCTGTCAAGTTTGGACTTTTCACATCTGTTTTTGCTGATGGTACAAAAGAAGGCTAAAACAAAACATTTTTAAGTACTTAAAATTTTACAACAAACTAGAAAAAACATTTGCAACCCCAAAATAGCAGCCAGTCCTCTGCTTTGATTAAGAAGCTGTTACCCTACATATTAAAAAAATATATCCCTGAATATTTTGTTTTGCAAGTATTTATCCAGCTACTATTTAAACAATTCTTCAGGCAGAGAATTCCACATTCTTATTCTTCTTACTGTAAAAAGGAACCGCTTTCTTTACCTTACACTAAGTCTTTCTTCCATTCTAAACAAGTGACCTCATGTCCTATGAATAGTCTCTGGGAGGCTAAGACCCCTAGCATTGAGAGATAAGACGTTAAGAGGTGCCACCATGTATGTGGGCCCACTCAGCGCAAGCGGCAAGGCTCCCCAACTTGCCACAGGCCACCCAAAGAAACAATAGGTGGAAAACAGGAGAGAGGCCAAGCATTGAGATGAGTAAAGAGGTTTACAGTAAGGTGATGTGGAAGAAGGGTAAGTAGGGAATGATAGAGAGGAGCAAAAGATAAAGAAACAAGAGGGGGATGGGAGGCGGAACATACATAAGGTTAAAGTTAGAGAAGCAAGTTGGCAAGAAAGAATATTTCAGCTAAATGTTAGAATCAACATCTGGGTAGAAGTGTAATGTTGATACCAGTGTCAATAAATCTGGAACCCTTGTAGCAGAACCGTAACCCCCTTCAGTTACCAAGACACTGGCCTTTGGGGCTACTGTTGGCATTGAATCCAACTGTTGCTAGTAAAAAAAAATACACAGGTGATCAATATCAATTAACAAATTAAAAAAAGCACAATGATGGTACGGTGGTGTCACGACAGGCGTGAAAACAAAACCCTTATAGTCAACTCTCCACCGCATCCTTGGGCCTCAGACAAGCATATGTTATTACACTGTTGCTGTGGCCAGGAATTTTCCACTGGTTTATCCCAGGCAGTGTTCTTAATTGAACTGGTAAGTGAAAGTATGGGTGCAGATAGGGAAGTGCACTTTTTTTTTTATATGGAATGCTTCACAAATTTGTGTGTCATCCTTGCGCAGGAGCCATGCTAATCTTCTCTGTATCATTCCAATTTTGAAAAATGTTTTTAGTATATGTGCAGCCGAAGCGAGCATGAGAGGTGCACCTTTTAATCAAGGAACTACATGAGCAGTTGTCATGTTTCCATGCAAGATCTTAATTGGGTATCTAAGATTTGACCTGTCAGTTTAGCTTTATTGGACAGGAGAGGTATAGTGAGACACTCAGACCCATTGAGGCCAGTGTGTAAGCTGGGACCACCAGACCTTCTGTTTTATCTGAAACCCTTGGGCAGTCCCTGGCCCTGACTCCATCCCACACATCTGCCAGTTAAAGCCATGTTAAATAATTCATTTATGCATGCTGATATGACATGCTGATATGACATACAACAAGAAAAAAAAAAACCTCTCTCTCCATTTTATCAGACTAATGAAAACTTGTGTTTAAGTGGTATTGTACACCTGATTTGTAAAAAGAGTTTTTAAGTTAGTCCCCCCACCCCATGATAGCAGCCTATATGTGTCCATATAGCCCTAGTATCCTCATAAGTCCCATTCCCATATCGCCTCCTCCTGGCAACAGGCCTGTTGAGTGAGCACCACAGGCCCCTGTTAGGTACAAAGTGGCCCATTCCCAGGAATGCTCTGTGTTGGCAGGTTTCCATCTCTGTGGGGTAAGTGCATCTGTGAGGAAGTAATGTATCAGGTGATCAGTCCCTCAGGGATACACAGGTATCATTCCTGCTGAACATGGGCTTTTTGGAAAAAATCAGGGGGTCATTACAGCTGTTGTAGGAGGTGCCTGTTGGCAGTATCACATGGGCAGTTTTGGCTGAAACAATTCCGCAGTAGCCTCGTGAGAGGTTTAGAGTCAATTCTAGATGTGGTGTAAAGTAGTATAAACTAAAATGGAAACATACAATGTACATTTAAAACAAAAAAGTTATTAGAGCCTATTGCCCTGACAAGTGTGCTTCCATGCATGCTCCTCATGTGTCCTACTAGTCACTACTGCAGTGTGGGCTTTGGAGCCTTGCTTTATAGTGAGCAGTCTAGTCAAATGGCCCTCAAGGCTTGGTGGTCTCTTGCCTTCCATGGCGAGGTCATAGTGGAAGAGCTGGACTGGAAGCAAGGGGCCTGTTTTGGGAGTACAGGTCCAATGGGCCAGGCCTGTGCATATTTATTGTCAGTAGTTCTTTGCCCTGTTCCACAAAGTCTCTATTTGTGGGAGCCATTTTGGGGCAGATGCCAGGAAGGCCAACAGTCCAGTTTACATCTGCTAATAATATCTTATCCTTTGTGTCTGGAGTAACCTGGTCAAGGGCTTCAAGGCTCTCCTGTAGCCCACACTCACTAGTGAGAGATCATGCAGAGTAGTATGTTGTTGTGACGCCCCCGGTTATCTAGGTTCTCCACTTGGAGGGCTACTCCACGTTAGTTGTCTGCATAAGTAGCTTGGGTGTCTGCCAACACCAATTGTGCCGCTTTCAGTTTGTCACACTTTGCTTTAATCCAGCTCAGGTGGTCATCTAGGCCTTCTAGTTCAGCCTTTAAAACCTATATATCCTTCTGGATGGATGAGCATAGCTCAAACATAGTGTTCCTTAGGTCAGCTCGAGTAGGTAGGTCTCTTATAAGTTTGAGCCTGTCCGGCCTTGCCATATGGCAGGATTTTCTTTCTGAGGTCGGAGGTGATGGGGCCGACCTCGAATGCTATTGTGCCTCCAGAGTCAGGTGACAGTGGTACCAAGTCTGTGGGATTCACAAGATATTGTCACAGGGAAGAGGAGATTATAAATTTTTTGGGGGTTCCAGGGTCTTCATCGAGGTTCATGAGTATTTTCCTATGATGCCAGGATATTTTATGCTGTTTGACCTGAGCTTCAAGAGGAGAAAGAAATTAGGGAGCCATTTTCAACGGTGGCCAAGCCACGCCGCGCCAAATATTTTTGTATATTGCAATCATGTCACCTCTGAGGTGCCATGTTTCTAAGCTAACCAGGTTTAAACGTGTTAACCTTTCTTCATAACGAAAACATTTTTTGTGTGTTTTGTGTGTTTGTGTGTTGTGCCAGCAGAAGGAGCACTAATTATTGCTCAGTGTACAATAGCACAAGACACACGTTTAATAATATTAGAACATTAAAATGATCCGTAACTGACATCATAATAATAATGATAATCATAATTAAAACAATGACCTCATCAGTTGTAGTACCTGTAAATCACTTACTAGTTGTGAGGCATAGCGTTGTTTAATGAACCTTGATCTAATCGAAACATGTCACGACCTGTCTACATGTTTTTAAAGTTTTAATAGTGGGATCCATCAATGCCTATGCTTATGTCATTAATCCGAGAAGATTCTGCTAATCTATATATCCAGTGGGACATTGTGGTGTCCCTTTCAAAAAGTGTGACCATGGTTGACAGATAGCGGTGTACCTATAGTACATGTCCATTGAACCCCATTGAAGTTCCTCCATTGTAAGAAAGTGTGACGAGAGCAATCTCGCCACATTGCATTGGAGAAGCCTGGTTGCTCGCCTGTTGCCTTTGGATTATGGCCCCATGTTAAAAGGCTTGATTTTTCCCTGCAAAGACATGAAAGCCGGGTCATTTGGTGCTTGCCCTGTTTGAGCGGTGATACCCCAGATAGCTATGCCATGGAGCCCATTCGTATAATGAAAGACTATGGGAAAGACTTTGGCTCCATGGCAATTGAACTGTATGTGTGTGCTCTGAGCGCCATTCAGTAATAATGTGCGCTCAGACCTAAGCTATCTGGGCATATGTTGCATGTCTGTAGTTTATATCATAAATGTAACCTTGTGTATTTTATTGTATTTTACTGTCTTTTTGCTGCCATGTGTTCAATGGAGTTTTGCCTCTGTCTTTGGAGATAATTGGATTACTTCTAATTATCTCCAGGATAGAAGACTCTGTGGAACTGGTTTTGGGCAGAAAAGCCATGCTTCCTGTGGTCACAAAGGACTACGATCTATCTTTTGAACCACTGGACCAATTTGTATAATTTTGACGTATGTTTGTATTTGGATTATGCTGATTCTGAAAATGTAATTTTATGTGAATGTGATGCATACTTTTCAAGTTATGAATAATGTGGAAAAATTGTATTTCTCTGCTTGTTATAATTACATTACCCATTGTGTAAGGTAATTGTATCACAGGCAGAGGGGAGGATTTTGCGTGGGAGTGTCTGAGTGTATTGTATGTGTTTATTGGTTGTGTTCCAAAACCCTGTGGGTGGTACTAATGTGTAATAATGTGTACATAAGCACAATAAACCCACAGCTCTGTCTGGCCACTGCTTGACCCTCAACACGGAGCCTTGTCTCGTCTTTGGGGGGATTTACTGAATGCTGATAGAGACTGATTGCTAGGAGTGTAAGCCGCTTGGATGCTTTTCCTATTCGTCTGCTAGCAGCGATTCGTATGGTTCCAGTTCGTGTGTTTGGAGTGCTATATTGGATGCCGTTCGGGAGTTTGGAGCATTCACTTATTGGCGGTTCATGTGTTTGGTGTTCTGCAATAGCTGTGCCTGCATCTCTGGAAAGGGGGACGATCGCCTAAACGGTTTTTACCCCTTGTGTGCAAAATGGTCCGTTACAGAAAGTATTCAACTTTGGTGTACCAATCCTTCCTAGAGGGTGATGTAGATGATTTCCAGAGACTCGCTATTATTGATTTGGCTGTGGTCAACATGAAGTATATTAAGGAGTGTAAACCGCGCCAAAGATGTATTAGAGGTAGATAAAATGTCATAATGGTATATACATACATACAGGTTTACCAATGATGTGATGGTGTATGTAACCCTCAAAAGAGATAAAATACAGAACAATAATAGTGCAATATGTCAACGGTAAAATAACTTAAACTATCTGAAAGACAATTAAAAGACTAACTCACACTTTACAGAGCTACTAAGAGCTCTGCCGTATAACGCCTGGACAGTACAATCTCCGTCTTGGTATATAAGGGTGGTGGTATAAAACGGTATCCAATTCTCCACAATCGTATATATAGAAAAAATAAAAAAATAAAATCCAATGGTATAGTATGTACAGTTAGATGATGATATATTTAAAAAGCAGGTATCCTACTTACAATTTCCAGAGCAATGCCTTGCTCTGGTGATGAAAGCGTATGGTGGTATAATCCCCACCACAGAATGTGGGAAGTGAGCAGGATTCAAAGTGCACCAAGAACGGTCAATATGATGATAAGAGCTGTAACTTTATTAATACATGAAAATAAAATCATATTAAAAAAAACAAAGCACAAAAACAAGCTGCCAGTTTTAGTGAGCGCCTATACCCTACATCTTTTTGATTAATGGTATTCCACACATCTCTCCAAAATTTTGATATCAGTCTGCACAAGCACCATATATGTTAAAAAAAAAAAGTGCCTCTGTCTTCCCCACATCTCCAGCAATTGGGGATTGCCGTTTGATCATAATTTTGGATATCTACTGGGGTGACTTACCATTTAGAAACAAACTTATAATTAATTTTCTGTAAGGGGATGCTGGATAGAGAATGGAAGAGTGCCTTAAATATAGCAGTCCACTCCGTCTCACCCATTTTGGTTTCCAAGTGGTCATTCCAGAGTCTGGTGAAGAAAGGCATCTGTGGGTGTACATGAGTATGTAAGACTTTGTAGCAGGTGGATGTTAATTTGGGAGTTGGTTTATCCCCAGAATACATTAATTAAAATGTTGTGAGTTCCCTATAGTTCCAGTTTAACATACCCTGAGCCTTTAAAAAGTGTTGTATCTGAAAGTATTGAAACCTTTTGCAGAAGGGTTGGAGGCCTATAGGTCTATCAGTGCAGTTATTGGTACCATTCCCCTCCACATATACTAGCGGAGTATATGTGGCATGCTTACTGTTAATCCATAATGATAACAATATTCTGCTCCTGCCTGTTAGAAATAGGAGGTTGTAAGATATAGGGTATTTAGGGGACGGAGTCGGTACCAGATCTGGCATACAATATATATTTTTCCAGATACGCAGCGTTACTGCCACTGTTGGGTGGTGAGGTATAGACCAATTATT